CACTAAGTGAGTCACTGAAGTTGTTAAGTGAATCCAGCTTTTCCCATTGACTTTGCTCATCAGAAATCAACAGGAAAGGTCACAAATGTTGATCATATGCTGGTTGCCAAGTTCCCAAATTATGTTCATGTGACCGTAGGAATGCTGTGATGGTCATAAGTGTGAGGACCAGTCTGATGGCGAGGCAGCCATAAATATTTAACAAGCCATATTTCTGGAGAACAGCAGAAAATACCAATCCAGGAGGAACAAAACAACACCCAATGGGGATTATTTGGTCATGGAAGACAACTGAACTGATGAGTAATTAACACCACCAAGCAACAGATAGATTCACCACATTATAAGATCAAATAATGCAGAACGTACAATAATGAATTTGACAGCAACAGAGGAAATGTATATGTAGGAGGGAAAATAATAAGGCAGGTGTGGTGATAATGATGGAAAATCTCAGACTGCGCTCCAATGGGAAATCATCCCTCTTTATGAAATCTTCAAAAATACTATTTGAGCAGCTATCTTTCCAACACCAGTGTCATTTTATAATCAAAACTACTCAAGGGGCAGTGTAATTAAGCCCTACACTGTAGAATGGTAGACCAAAATTAAAATAAAACAAAAAACCATGTCCGTTGTCTAGGGCAGGTTGCTCCTAAAACCCAAAGGTTTTGGAATTGATGCTCCTCGCATTCTTAATCATGTGTCTGAGTGTGTCTTTGTGTAGCAGATGTTGTAACTGCTGTACATTCTGTATAAGCTTTGTGCTCCAATCTGGCATACATATGCACATGTATAGAGATATTATTGCTTACATACTTCTCTTAAGCTCCTTGTAAAAAGAAAATTGTCCAGCAGAAATGAAGGCTGGTTTGATTATTTGATGTAGGGATCCAAGAAATTTTAATCTTTTTTTTCATTCTTTTTACAGCAGTGGATTAGGAGGGAGTTAGTTGGAAATTAAAACAACACCAAGTTTGTTCTTAATTAAATTACCTTCCCCTGGTTAACCGTGAGCTGCAAAGAGTATATAACCAAGTCAGATGGTTTACAAACTCTGTATCCAACTCAACCCCAAAAACAATGTGGAAAATTCAGCGAGAGTTCAGTTCTTTATTTGCTTACAGACAGTAGACAGAATCTAACCAGACTAAACTCTTACCCCTCTCAGGGAGATTCTAAGGAGTGGCTATCTTTACTTTCTTCCTATGCCTCCTATCTAGCCCTGGCATATGTTGTCTCGTGTCTTACAAGAAAGTTTGGAGATTTTAAGGGGACATACAACTTGCAGTCAGATTATTGCAACACAGATCATATCTCCCAAATCTGGATAGTGCATAAGTCATGCCTTCTGGTTACCATGGGGTTTAGAGATATGATAAGGATTTGCCACGCTCATCCTGGGTCTCTGAAAGGACACGAGTATTTTGTTTTACAAAAATAGTGCTGTATGCCCCAGATTATATGCAGGAGTGGGATTCAGCCGGTTCGGACCGGTTCGGGTGAAGCGGATGCTAATTTTACATTTGGTAGTGGCAAGGACTGGCTGGCTCCGCCAACCCCACCCTGCCCCTCCCAGGAGTCTCCACCTGGCCTGTTTTGGATGCCAGATAAGTGCAGGGGCCACACGGAGTCTCTGGGAGGGCAAAAAATAGGCCTCCCGGAAGTTCCAGACGTCTGGAAATTGGCCACCGGAGGGAGCCCAGGCGAGATTGTTTTTGCCTTCCCGGAGGCTTGAGGAAAGCCTCCAGTGCCTGGGGAGGGTGAAAATGCCCCCTCCCCCTGCCATGGTGCAGGAGGCCGAGTAGGCTGTGCCCACTATGGCCACACCCACCCTGCAACCTGGCAGAGAACTGGTTGCTAAAATCTTTGAGTCCCACCCCTGGTTATATGATTGTATGTTGCAAGAACTACCACAACTGAAACCGGGCTCGATAAACTGTTGAATAGGTGAAATATGCTGTGTTCATAAGACTAGAATGAATCAGTCATAATCCATGGCAGAAAAGATTGATTGATGATTGGTTAGTTGGTTGGTCTTTTCACCTTTCCTGACATCATGGATGTCTCAGATAATTACGTGCCCAGAATTTGATAATTTGATTCATTTGGGTATCAAAGTGACAACTCTGAATTGATTTGTTCTATCCTCTATTGATTTCTTGGCTACCATGGTATTCTCAGGGGTTTTGGAGTTCTTGATGTTCTCTGTTCTTGGTTATTTGCTTGCAGATGTTTCATCACCCAATTAGGTAACATCATCAGTACAAGTGACACAGGTTTGCTGCCTGTGTATATATAGTAGCTTTCCCTACGATAGTTTTGCGGGAGTGTGGCTTCCTCCTTGATAACTCCTTGATTAAAGTATTGTTTTCAATCGGATTGTTTGTCTGGTGCTGATCCCTGTTTATCTTACTATATTGGCTGCAGGAGGGGAAATATCCTAGTCTGTGTTTCCTTCCTAGGGCTTTTTAGTGTCTCTTTTGAATGGTTGGCAAACGTGTTCATCTCTACGTGTGTTGTTGGCTGATTTGTCTAAATGCCACACTTCTAGGAATTGCCTAGTATTTTTGGCTTGGGCTTGATCTAAAATGCTCATAGTTTCCCAGTTGAAATTGTCATTGAGTCTGTCCAATTTCATGAGAATTTCTCATCATTTCTTCACACTGTTAATTGGTATTTGTGGGTGTGTTTTGCTAGTCTTCTGCATGTGTGTCTTACATTGTGGCTGTTACATTGTATGTTGTAGATGACTTCTATTTGTTCTTCTTAGACTGCTGGGCCCTTTAAGGTGTTTGGGAGGATTTTAGATGCTTTGTATGCTACAAAGATGCCAAATGATTGCACTCATCAGTTGGTTGTTTCTGAGATATCTTTAATATTGGGGAGAGTTATCCCGTTCATGGATTGTGGCTGATGAATAGCACTGATGGCGTTACTTAGTTTGGGTAATGAAATCTCTGCAAGAAAGAAACCGAACTCAGGGAGCACCAAGCAACCCTCATTTCAACCCTGAGCTGCAAATATTCTGCTTTATTGGTAAGATTTCTGTTTCCTGGTGGTAAGCAAAGGAAAGCGAGAACCCTGAGCAAAATGGCAGAGGGTGTATGTATTCCATTATTTCACTTCTCGGCAACCCTGCTGCTCAGAGCCATCTGTTGGGGATGCTTTAATTTCTGCACTGAGCAGGAGGTAGGGACTCAATTACTTAAATTCCCCCTTTATAGCTCTAGGATATTGCTGAAGATCACTGGTAGGGTTTTGATGCAAGTAATAGTAGAAATGCAGAGACTGAAACAGCATAGCCCATGTTTGGCAGGCTACTGAGGGCCATGGGGAAAGAGGACTTCCTGGAAACTTACTCGCAGCTGTTTGGTGGGCTGCCAGAAAGCATGGGAGGGAGAAGACATCTGCATGAAGACCACTGGAAGCCAGGGGTGTGATCTGCCTGTGCTCTGCATTCTTTGACACATTCTTTGACCTGGGTACTTGAGAGACCGCCTGCTGCCAATTACCTCCCAAAGACCCGTTAGATCTCACAGGGTCGGCCTCCTCCG